CTGTCTGTTTTTATATGTAGATCTTCTGGGTGTGTGTGTGTGTGTGTGTGTGTGTGTGTGTGTGTGTGTGTGTGTGTGTGTGTGTGTGTGTGTCAACCGCAAGAAAGTTGTTGAAATGAAAGATAGTTGTTGAATGAAAGATAGAGCAAGGATGATGGCAAAGGGGTGTGTGTTAAAGTTGTCCCACGTGGCCATCAGGGAAGGAAGTGTTGGTCTGGTACTGCCAACACCCAAAAGGCCCTCTGCGCCACCATCTTACTCGGAGGAGAAATAACTTGCAACATAGTCTCCAACTGGCCCATGCATGCCGTCACCTTGCCGTGAAATTAGGAAAGCGCTGAGTGAAGTTCAGGCTCCAATATTTCTGCATCCAGCCGCTCAGGACAAACATCTTTGCTGATATCTGAAAGACACAAGAAGACAAACACGTGTGGAATTATGATTTATATTTTGAATGAAGGTTATTAAAAAAGCCCGATCAACACAGATGCACAGCTACATATCACATATCACAAGATACCTATGAGCATGTGCTGCGGATTTCCTATTTTACTGTATTTTTTTCTGGGTGGGGGCTTCATTTGATGGACACGCCAGCTAGCTCCCATTGAGTGCTCTTTTCCTCATGGTTCTGTGCCTTGCCATGTCTTTTTTTAAATGTAGTTCATCAGGGTATGCGTGTGTGTGTGTGTGTGTGTGTGTGTGTGTGTGTGTGTGTGTGTGTGTGTGTGTGGCCTGCAAGAAAGTTGTTGAAATGAAAGATAGTTGTTGAAATGAAAGATAGAGCAAGGATGATGGCAATGGGGTGTGCGTTAAAGTTGTCCCACGTGGCCATCGGGGAAGGAAGTGTTGCTCTGGTACCGCCAACACCGAAAAGGCCCTCTGCGCCACCATCTTACTCGGAGGAGAAAATCCTTGCAACATAGTCTCCAACTGGCCCATGCATGCCGTCACCTTGCCGTGAAATTTGGAAAGCGCTGAGTGAAGTTCAGGCTCCAATATTGAATGTAACTACAGGCCGACTTGAAGTAGTTGTAGACGATCCAGCGTCTCTCATTCGCTCACAACAGACAACATCAAACATGAATAAAGTTGCAGAAACTTTGTCTGCTGGGGTGACCGCCGCCATGAGAGAATTAGAAGATAAATTAGAAAAAGTTGCAGACTTGAAGGCCGACCCATTCACACGTCTGACTCAGATAAGACTATACATGACAGAATGAAACAGAAACCAAGAGGTTCCACAAAATATTCGAGATCGACTTTTGAAAATCACCAATGAACATGAAGACAGAGCAAATACTGAGGCAGAAGAGCAGAATTGTCTTCGCGCTGAACGAGATGCTGCCCAACTGAAAATGGAACAGGAAGCTGCTCTCTATGCTGCAGAACACGCAACTAGAGGTCCTTCAAATGAAGAGAAGGAAAACAGGTTCCACGTTGCTCAATTACAGAATCAATTCAAAACATTAAGTTGTTATGTCCAGACTCTTTCAGATGCACGCCCTGACCCCGTTTTGGACCGAACCAGAGGTCTTGCAGACCCAGAAGAATCTTGCGAAAATCCTTCTCTTCAAACAGTGCAGACAGCGGGTACAGGACAAATTTTGACAGCAGGTGAAATCCGCGTTCTCCTAACACAAGCATGTCCGCTTTCACAATCAAATACTTTGTTGCAAAACTCAGGCTTCTCTTCTCTCCCCGACAATCAGGCCCTTACACGAGAAAATGACATGACCTTGTCCACAGTTTTAAACACTTTGTTTCCCCTCCTTGAGTGTGTTATCTCAGATTTGGTGTTCACTCCCAAAGGAGAGAGGAGGCTGCAGCCTTTGTTGACCGGGCCCTCACTGGTTCCACTCTGAAAACAGGACACGCACCGACGGCCTCCGCCTTGCATTCACAAGTGTTCCGAGCAGCCATTTTGAAGGGCGTTTCCAAGTCTGTGATGCAGGCCATGGAAGCCAATCCGGACCTTCCCGGTGCTGAGCTTGACCGGTGGTTGTCTCATCGTAAACATCATCTGAGGAGATGTGACGGGTGTCACAACTGTGACTGTCTGTCCTGAGCCCCATGCTGCCGCCTCAATAACAAGAATAATAATAATAACAATAATAATGTGGAGGTGGCCTTTTCTTTCGTGAAATACTGCAACACAGTATGGCAGGAGGGCGAGATGAAGTCGTATTGGGGTCTCGGTCTCGGACATAACATGCGACTTCCTTGTCGGCTCTCCCTTAACAAAACATCATGCATAACAAAACAGAATACACAACAGAGCCAAATTCACAACATGGGTGATCGTATCGTAATTATGTACAGATAAAGGAGAAAAAGAACACATTCATATGATTTACGTGATGTCATTGAACACATCACGTGCAGCAGAAACCGCTGTGCAAGGGACAGTCATGGCGGCCGCGACGAACTACGGATATACGCCAGTCACACCAACGGCCAAATGTCATTTAACTATATACAGTAAAACCAAAAGGAAACAAAAATTACCTGCAAACACAGTATGGCAGGAGAGATCGATGAAGTCGCATTGGGGTCTTGGTCTCCGGCATCACTGAGCAACAGACAAGCACGATTAACTCAACGGATAAAACGTTCCATTCGACAAAACGAAAATTAAATGTAGCCGGGTCTTTGGAAAGACTGGACTGAACACACAATAATTGCTATGTGGTTTAATTCCCGACTGAACAATACAACATTGTACAGCGTTAAAATGAAAGACTGAGACATGAACTGAATTTTAAGAGTTGGAAAAAAAGGGATCTAAGAGATCAAAGAAAATTATACACCAGATTAAATAAAATTACACAGTAATAAACAACAGCAGTGGCTTGCTTGATAGGGAAAGAGAAATAAAAATACATTATTTCCAAGCCACAACATTCCATGAAACTTAAAAATGCAGACCGACTAATCATTACAATCCAATGTGTTGAGAGGACACACTTACTCGACATTTTCCGGCGTGTTGGGTGCCTTCAAAACACGTGGAAAACACAAATGATCTCCCCTCTAAAGAACAGATAAGACAGTTCATATAATTTCACAGTAAAAAAAAAAAAAACATTCACATCTTTTAGCGTTGCGAACACTTACGTTGTGCAGCTGTTCACACGACTCACGAGCGGCAGATTTCAAACTCCAAACCACGATATTTTGCTCTTCAAATACCATTCAAATAATTAATCAGCCGTCCAAATATAACACTTAACATGCTTCATGGTAAAATAGCTCCCAATTACCTGAATATCACCAGGATTAAACTGACGATTATTGTGGGTTGATCAAGTTGGGACGAGCGGCATACACAGTTCAGTGACTATCTTCCTTCACATGCATGCCATCCTCCGAGTGATGTGTCGGTCGCGAACCCG